TTTGATTTTTTTTAAGATTTATTTTATTTTTTATTTTATACAATAGCTGGGGCACAGGCTGGAGGCCTGGGAGAGTGAGAGGTTTCATTAGCAACAGAGCAGGGAGCAGAACAGGCAGACGGACTGAAAGCACTGCTGAGGGGAACAGTGGGCGCGACAGGAGAGGTCCACCACGCCTTGTGGGAATCTCCCTGGCTGGCCGGGAATCAAACCTGCGCTGCAGAAGCTGCAGTTAGCTTCACAGGGCTGTGCACGACCCACTGCGCCACTGGGGAGTCCCTATTTTTTTTATTTTTCAATAAAGATTTATTTATGCATCCAAGAACTGGGGTACAGGCCAGAGGTGTGGGGGGAGGTGAGAGGATTCACCAGAGATAGAGTGGGGAACAGAACAGGCAGATTGACTGAAAGACACTGCTGAGGGGAGCAGCAGGTGGGACAGGAGAGGTCTGCTGTGTCATGTGGGTCTCCTCCCTGGCTGGGGATCAAACTGGTACCCCAGTGACTGTGGACAGCCTCATAGGCTGTGTTCCAACTCTTTGCGCCACCAGGGGGGCCCTTTATAATTTTAATAGCTTTCAAAAAATGTGGAAGATGAAGGGCCGGAAAGTCGTGGCAGATTGATGACACTGAGGGCAGAGCACACAGAGATTCTACTGTGTTTCAGCATGTGATACACTTGATTTTTCAGTAGAGGTGATTATAGTTCCTGTCTCCACTGCTTCATATTCTTAAAAACTCTTGACGCTTCCCATTGCGCAGGCTTGAGTTGTAATATTTGTGGTATTTAGGAATAAAGATAAGGGAAATTCTTCCTATTAAAAAAAAACTTCCAAAGCTGAAATTTAATGATTAAAATTGTGTTTTAGAAGATCTACTTAATAGCACATTTATAGCTATAAATTATAATGCTTAAAAATTGTAGTTACGGGGGCCTCCTTGGTGGCGCAGCCATTGAGCACTGGGTTGCGAAGCTGCCTGCAGCCTCTGCAGCACCGGTTCGATCCCTGGCCGGTGGGCGAGGGTCCCACATGATGTGCAGACCTGCCTCCTGCTTCTCCCCTCAGTAGTGTACTTCGTCAGTCTGTTCTGCTTTCCACTCTGGCTCTGGTGAATTCTCTCACCCTCCCGTGCTTCTGACTGTACCCAGTGCTTATATAAACAAACAAACATAATAAATAAATCTAAAAAAAAAAAACTGTAGTTATGGAATGACAGAAAGATAGTAATTAATAATTATGAAAGCAGAATTTTGGCCATTACACATTCAGTGCATTCCTGACAAATCCCCAAATAATAAGACTTAAGGGAAAATAGCATTTGAAGCAGACCACTCAAAACCCCATGCAATTTAGTAAGCAAGCAAACAAAAATAAAAGAATAATGGCATCTTGGGATGACTTGGATAGCTTAGGTTGGCTGACTGTAGGCTGCCTTAGGAGCCAGTACAACAAATGCGACGACAAAGTTGACTAGAAATGCTAGTGGTAGGTGCTGAAGTCTTGCAGATGGGATGGGTTTCAGGGAGGAGGGGCAGAAGGCAGTGTAACCAGCCACCCACAGAGAGCCATGCAGCCCCTGCACCTCTCTGGAGAGGGAGTCCATGAGCAGATGCTAATTTTTAGTTTTCTTAAAATAGAACTAAAAGAGCACCTGCCTGTGTAGCAGCTGAGCTGAGGATTGTTTCTTGCTGAAGGTTATAATTCTTTTCCCACAAATCTGGTTCTTCTAATTTATGAAAAATTCCATATGAAGCCATATAGTTCCCCATGCCATACTAGTCATATTGGGGGCTAACTGATGTTCCAGAAACATATCATGACAGAACAGATAATATATCAGAGAAGACTGGGAATTTTATTTTCTGTCTTGATGCTGGGACTTAAAATCTTCATAAAATTAGTAGAATTTGTAATTAATATATACAGCCACTCATCGCCTGGTATTTTGGGACTCAGAGCCAAAAACCATTTCCAGGATTTCAGTTCAGAACTGAACTGATCATAGCTGGTGTCAGAAGCATACTTTTTTGTTTGGGTTAGTTTTCAGTTGACATATCTAAAATCAATTTCCATGCTTAGATATATATAAATCAACACACTACAGAAAGTTCACAGAATAGGTTTTGCTTTGCTAAACATTAACTTCTGATGCTGGTGTGATATCCTTTAATATGATCCTAGAATGTCAAATTTGCTAACACATAGTACTGTAATAGTATTGACATCTTCCACTTTTAATTTAATTAAATGTTAAGGCAACTAAAAAGTATCAGGACGTAGTTGATATATTTGTTAAAAGTTAACTTTCTTAACATTTCTCTTGGTGATGGTTTCCAATTGGGGGAGGGCAATTAAGGGAAAGGAACCACAGTAGTTAGGAAGATTTCCTTTTTGGAGTTTCCTTTAGTAGCCAGCAGTGCTTTCAGTTAAGGCTTTGGTTGCTTTTCACCAAACAGCCCATGGAAATATTTTGTTAAATGCCTTATTTTCTTTTTTCCATTTTATCTAAGAAAAAAAAAGTGTCATTTTAGAATTAAGTTTATGAAAGGATTTTGACTTACAGGAAAATGAATTGTTTTTGATGACCTTTCGACTTTTTCTTTCTATTTTTTTACTGTTTCTTCATGGGACCAGTGCAATTAGAGATTTTAAGCTATAAAATTATTTATATTCGTGAAGAGGTATAATGCATACTCACTCGACTAAAAGTCTCCTGGCCTTTTCTCTGTGAAAAACTTAGTGATTTCTCCTAAGTCTTGTGGCTAGGTTGCTAAGGTAGGCAGTGATAGTGTGGAGTTACTGGTTGGGACGGGAAATGTTTGTTACTATGGTTTTGCTTCCGATGTACTGTACTGATCTTTAAAGCATTTCCTCTCTTTGTTGGAATTTTAAAGTTACTGGGAAATGGGGAGGGAAGAGCCCTTGTAGGGACAAAAATTCCTTTTTTTTTTTTCTATAGTCACTGGAAACTTAGCAGCTCATAAGTTGGGGTCCTGTTTAAAGAATCAGTAAACAACATTCAGATACATAGTTTCACACTGATTCATTTTTAAATTGATTGAACCTATTGCAGTATTTACAATATGTCCAGATTATAAATAACCTCTGATTATTCATTCAGCGCTTGCACATATCCTGGCACATTATCTGCTCAGTTCTTGAATATTTATGGAGCGCCTGCCTTATCTAGCAATGTGCTATAGCTGGAAGCAAAGGAGCAGCTGAGGTACAATCGCAAGTACTTAAAATTCAGTGATAGAGACAGTTATAAACACAGCACAAAAGCCTGTCTTTCAGTTGTTGAGACTTTTTTTTGGTTTATTCTAGATTTCACTAACTATATTTCTTGAATCATGGCAGCTTCTCTAAATATAGATGATTAGTGTGTATATAGCTACTGATACTTATATATACAACAGTAAGAGCTTGATAAGTAGATTACTCTATCATTTATGTATTGCTGTTATAGGGCAGCCCCGATACAAAACGGGGTGCCTGACTGTGGGTCCTCACCTGTACACTTAAAAGGTCTTATCAATACTCTACTGCAGGCACACACGAAAGGTTAATAAAAGGTTTATTTACAAGGGAAGGGCAAATGAGGAAATGTACAGCTCAGGGAGAAAAATGGGAGACAAAGTTTCAAATGCGTCCTACCCGATCCACCGATCTGGAATCTCAAATGGCACTCTGAGAGCTGGCTGCAAGCCAGGAGCCGTGAAGCCAGGAGGCAAGTGACAGAGCGAGCGACCCCAAGGCCCACGTGTTTGGTTTTTTTTTTTTTTTTTTTTTAATAGAGGCATGCTTTATTTATTTGTTTGCTGGTTTGTTTGTTTGTTTGTTTTTGTTTATACATGCACTGGGTACAGTCAGAAGCACGGGAGGGTGAGAGAATTCACCAGAGCCAGAGCGGGGAGCAGAGCAGGCAGAAGGACCGAAGTACACTGCTGAGGGGAGCAGCGGGCGGCAGGAGAGGCCTGCGCGCCATGTGGGACTCTCCTCCGGTGGCCGGGGAGCAGCCGGGGATCGAACCGGCGCCGCAGAGGCCGCGCGCAGTTTCGCAACCCAGCGCTCAACCGCTGCGCCACCGGGGAGGCCCACGTGTTTGGTTTTTATACCCAACCTGGCTGTTAACTCCACCCTCAGGTCCCAGTCACCTTCCCTATGGTGGTGACGGGATTTGTCTTTCCCAATGTCCTGATGGCTTTGGTCTGGAGTGGGCGGTGGAGTCCACAAAGCCTGTTTGGGATTAGCTCAGGACATCCTTTCCCCCTAACATTGCCTCCTAATATATCTGCATTATATACGATGATTATGTTTTTTTGTGTGTGTGTTTTCACATGCACATGTGTGTGCAAGCAATAGAAACTTATGCTAAGGATAATTGAAGGGGTGGTACTTGACTGCTCTCTCTAAGGAAGTGGGATCTTAAAATGATAATGCTGGAAGTGACCTCATTTTATGGAGAAGAAACGTTGGTCCAAACAGGTTGTGAAGTCCTAAGATTTTGCTACAAATGAATAAATCATGAGTAGCCCACAGTCCCCAACTGTACGTCTGCATCATGATGTTAAGTGCCCAAAACTGAAAGAAAAATTGATTACAGATTATATTGCTTTTGTTGCAGAATAGATTTGATTTCAAATTCTCACATAAAGCCTGAAAGGTAGGTGACATGTGTCCCCAATTTACAGGTAGAGACTGTGGAGGAGACCTTTTGACACAACCAGGGGTTGGCAGAGTCACAACTCAAACCTAGGTCTCAGATGCTGTGGTGTTCCTGATGCCCCTTTCTTGCGTGGTCTGTCAGGGACACTTTAAACTTTGCAACATATGTTAAAATATATGAGAGATTGAGAAATCCACTCAAGTACCAGATGGCAGATTTTAGTTGGTGTATTCCACGTGATAAATGTTTATCTCTGTGAGAACACTTCTGAGGGGCTGAAGGTCACATGTTGCTTAATCTTACATAAGTCACAGTAAAACCACTGTCTGTGCAGCTGTGTCAAATTCGGTGCCTGCCCCACCCATGGCAGACATGGGCCCAAAAGGCTGCTACAATAACACTGTGACTCATGGGCCCTGATCCCCTCTCCTGGGCCTCAGGGATAAATTTGGTTACAGACACCAAGAAAGATAAATAAGGCAAAATTGGCGGGTGGGGGGTGGTGGGGAACTAGTGCCTAAAAGTATCAGTAAAGCTACCATTTTAAGTGGTGCCAAGCAGTGTTCTACTTTTCAATTTCACCTACATGGCTAAAATTGCCTAAATTGCATTTGTAGAAAGTTATAAAAGTGCCTTTTTTTGCAAGGCTATTGTTACGACTGATAGAATGTTCTCACATCTCATTGTCAGCTTGTGCACTTAGTGCAGTGTCACTGTATACTTGAGTCTGTTTTAAATATTCTCTTATAATTGAGTGGTTGAGAGCTTTCAGGTGATTTTTTGGCAATAATTTTGAACTTTAAATATATAGAATACTTCCTTTTCTAGGTTTGTTTAATTTTGTGATCCTGGAAATAGTTCGGAGAAGTGGGATCACAGCAACATAAAAGTCAAGCTATGGCAAAGTGGCTAAGGTGTTGTGGTTTTTTTTTTGTTTGTTTGTTTCCTGAGCAGCTAATAAATTAGCATTTGCATCTAGGCTCAAGTGACTTTTGATAATTTTCTGTTTATCTTGAGGAGAACTCTTGAAAGTTGTTTGTTTCTGAGAGGTAAAACTTCCTATTTATTTACTAGTAAAGTAGTCCCAAGATGCCTAACTCAAGTTCTTTCTTGTTTTTTCTTTTAAGATTTATTTATATTTATTTATTCATAAAAGAACTGGGGTATAAGCCAGAGGTGCAGAGGGTGAGAGGATTCACCAGAGACAGAGTGTGGAGTAGAACAGGCAAATTGACTGAAATACACTGCTGAGGGGAGCAGCGGGCGAGACAGGAGAAGTCTGCTGTGCTATCTGGGTATCTCCCTGGCTGGTGATCGAACTTGGTGTGCAGTGGCTGGAGATAGCTTGATAGCTCTGAAACTTTAACCCTGGTGCCACCAGGGAGGCCCTCAAGCCCTTCCTTGTAAAGAAGAAAAATCCTTCACACAAAACAGTTTTTAGTACTAAATGTAGTTCCATTTTCCATTACAGTTCTTAGTTATTAAAAAAGTTATAGACTATTCAGGCATACAAAAAAAACCCCAAACCATAAAGAATAATATAATGAACATGCATGTACTACCAACTAGCTGAAGAAAAATATATTTGAAGCTCCCTTCATGCCCTTTCTCAGTTGCTTCTCCCTTCTTCCTCTCCCCATTTTAACTACCAAGGAACCGCTTTCCTTGAATTCTCTGAAGTTCTTAATACAGCGTCATACTAGACATTCACAAAATAAAAACCACTGCTACTACTATTATTACTAAACCATGGCCAAAAGTAGAACACTATGAAAATAAAGATTACTATTTCCTGAGATATGTAACATGACTATGAATAGGATATGTGTTTGTTGAGGGGATGATTTAGAGTGTTGGGAGTACAATGTATAGAAGAATAGGGACTCTTGGTCCCCACCTTGATTCCCTGGACTAGCTGATGTACTGATCCCCTGGCTGCTACAGAGTGTCCAAGTGTGGTCTGCTGATGCCTTCCAGCTGCCCCTTCTCCAGAGTCTTGTCCATGGCCAAGGCAGTTGTCTCTCTCAGGTGGTTTTTTTTCCTACCTTATCCTGCAGCTATCGATTGACAGATTAAGGGATACAAAGAGTCAGACCCTTTGCCTCATGGCAACACCAACCAATATGTGGTACAGTTCATGCTTTGGGGTGCCCTGTGGGAGCTGAGCCCCTGAATTTGCTTAGCTTCTTTTCCCTGCTGTACTCATTCCTCTTCTGATAAAACTCCTTCAGGAATAGCTGGTGTAAGAAACCCTGTGTCAGTCTCTTAATTCCTGCCTACTTGCATGGACTCCAGTCTAACACTGCTTGCTGTAGTCTGGAGAGGTGCTTGGGTGCTTGGCTTATCTAAGTGCTATCCTGCAAATAATTGGAAACCAAGTGCCTTTTAAAAGGATCATTCTAGTGAAGAGTGACAGTAATAAGTGGCTAAAGGACTAAAATAGGAATTTGTACCTATTAAGAAAAGAATGATAAATATCTTAGTTATTTATCATTGATTAGGGTTAGAAAAATATGAGATGTGAGTCCTTTGTAGAGCTTGGGAAGAGCTGATAAAATTTGAATGTGGATAGAGGAATCAAGAAGTTTCTACATTGGGTGACTTAGGCAAACAGTTAATCAATAGTTATACCAACTACTTTTAAAATAGTTGATACTTGGGCCTCCCTGGTGGTGCAAGGGGTTCAGCACAGCATTGTGAAACTATCTGCTGCCTCTGCAGCACAGGTTCTATCCCCGGCCAGCCAGGGAGCTACCCACATGGCGCAGCAGACCTCTCCTGGCTCTCGCGCTGCACCACTCATCAGTGTATTTCAATCTGCCTGTTCTCTTCCTCACTCTGTCTCTGGTGAATCCTCTCACCCCCTGCACCTCTGGCCTGTACCCCAGTTCTTATATTGCATAAAAAAAAGTAGTTGAAAACTAAGGCTCATGGGGGTACTTTTTGCAAAAGTTAATTCAGCTTTGGTTCTCTTGAATTTAAAGTGCCTGTGTGAAGTCATCAGTGGAAGTGTTCAGTAAGTTGTAGAAAACATTTGTCTGCAGTGTGGAAGTCAGTGCCAGCTCAGCAACATTAAGTGATTGTTTGTTTCTGTAATGGGTGAGTGGAGCCCAAGAGAGAGCACTGGAAGACCATTTCATCACTTAGAATGCATTCAGCTGCAAGTAACAAAGAACATCTAACTCAAATTGGTTTAAGAATAAAGGGAATTTATTGTTTTATGTTTTGAAAATTAATTGAAAAGGTGGGATTCAGGTGATTTGATCAGGGTTCTGTCTCCATTTTTCTGTGATTATTTTTCTTCTACCACCTCCACGTGTCATCTTTGTTCTGAAGCTTGTGATTCTGCTGGATCACTGGACACTGATGATTCCAGCATTGCAGCAGTGAACTGCGTATTGTAGAAAGAGAAAGAGAATATTCTCCATTCCTGAATTCCTGGCAGAAGTAATAAACTTTGAACTGGTTGATCAGTTTTGAGGGTGAGCCTTGTTATAAAGACAAGGGGATTACTAATTGGTTAAGATCAGTCAGGGCTTAGCTCTGTAGATCGGAGAGGGTTAGGCCTCAGAGAGCATGGAAAGAGTTGTGAAGAAGGACTAAAATAGTGTCAACTTGCTAGGAGGTCATTGGTGACCTGTGAGTCTTGTCTGTGACCTGGAGAAGGTAAGAGTCAGGTGGTTGTGTGGGTGATGAGAATGAGAGCAATGATGTGTACTTTATTTATTTATTTATTTATTTTAAGATTTACTTATTTGTGCATACAAGAGCTGGGGCACAGGTCAGAGATACAGGGGGTGAGAGGACTCACCAGAGACAGAATGGGGAACAGAACAGGCAGACTGACTGAAATACACTGCTGAGGGGAGCAGTGAGTGAGTCAGGAGAGATCTGCTGCACCATGTGGGCCACTCCCTGGCCAGCCAGGGATCAAACTCGTGCTGCAGAGTCTGTGGATTGCTTCAAAGTGCGGTGCTTAACCCCTTGTGCTACCAGGGAGTCCCAATGATGTGTGCTTTAAAAAAAATTACATTGGGGCCTCCCTTGGTGGCTCAGCGGTTGAGCGCTGGACTGTGAAGCTGCCTGCAGCCTCTGCAGTGCTGGTTCGATCCCCGACCACAGGCGAGTGTCCCACATGACACACAGACCTCTCCTGCTGTGCTCGCTCTTCCCCTCGGCAGTGTATTTCGTCAGTCTGTCTGTTCTGTTCCCGGCTCTGGTGAATTCTCTCACCCTCCTGCACTTCTGACTGTAGCCAGTGCTTGTATAAATAAATAAATAAATCTTTAAAAAAAAATTACATTGTTTTTTGACATAACTGGATTAAGGAAGCTTACAAAGGGAATTAAAAATGATCATGGGAGACTTTCCCCCATGTTTATCAGATGAGTAGAATGAGTTTAGGGTTTGAGTAAGATTGCTTCACCTGAACCCTGTCTCTGAAAACAGCATCTTGTATGGTCTAGGATAAGCCACTCATTGTTTTTTTTCCTCCTCTGAAGAGTAATGATCATAGTAAACATTTTACAGGAAAGCTGTATGGGTTAAGCAAGATAATATATGAAAGAGTTTTGTTAACTAAACAAAAATATTAACTGGCAGCATGCACATTGTTTATCTAAACCCTATTTTCTCATACAAGAATGTAAGGTATTACAGAACTCGTAGTATGTAGAGCTAAAGGCATGAAAGACAGCAGGGAGAGAGGAGAACATGAATGAAAGGATGAATAAAACACGGCCTTGGTGCAGAAGCTGCTATTCCTCTTAGCATGTCGACATGATTCAGCAAGATGAAAAGTCTGTAGATATCACACAATTTCTTTTTTTTAAAAAAAGATTTATTTATTTATTTATTTATTAAAGAATTATTTATTTATTTATACAAGTACTGGGTACAGTCAGAAGCGCCGGAGGGTGAGAGAATTCACCAGAGCCAGAGCAGAGAGCAGAGCAGGCAGAAGGACCGAAGTACACTGCTGAGGGGAGCAGCGGGCGGCAGGAGAGGTCTGCACGCCATGTGGGACCCTCCTCTGGTGGCCGGGAGCAGCTGGGGATCGAACCGACGCTGCAGAGGCTGCAGGCAGCTTTGCAACCCAGCACTCAACCGCTGCGCAACCCAGCGCTCAACCGCTGCACCACCAGGGAGGCCCGATTTCACATAATTTCTCTTGGCAGTATGTTTTATGGCCTCTGAGGAGGGCCCCTTGTTGATACATATATCACTTCGGTTCCTTTTTGGAATGAGAAGAAAGGAACACAGTACAGGACGCTCATCGTTTAGGTTATCAAGATGGCTTTTATTTGAAGTTATTGGAATGTTTAGTGATAATAATGATAAACGTTTAGTAGTAGCAGGTGCTGTCAGCTTATGTGTCACTCGTATATGATTGATTTTAGCTTTGTTTGTTCCAAAGTTAAATGCTTGTAGCCACATCCTAAATCTATTTTTTTAAAAGATTTATTTATTTATACATACAAGAGCAGGTGTACAGGCCAGAGATGCAGGGGGTAAGAGGATTCACCAGAGACAGAGTGGGGAACAGAACAGGCAGACTGACTGAAATACACTGCTGAGGGGGAACAGCGGGCGAGACAGGTGGAGTCTGCCTCGCCCTGTGGGTTGCTCCCTGTCTGGCCAGGGATCAAACTCATGCTGCAGAGGCTGTGGAATGCTTCATAGTGCGGTGCTTAACCCCTTGTGCCACCAGGGAGGCCCCCCTAAATCTAAATAATTCTAAAATTCTCAGATCATAATTCTTAATACTTATTTAAGTTGGTATACCTTTAAATACATTTTTTTTTTATTAAAAGCAACTATATTCCTATACATTCCTGTTTCTTATATTGAAGGGTGTCACTTTCTATGCTTAATTTTAAACAGTCTGATGTTTTGGAGTATAATGGAGTAACAGTGTCAACCTTGCAAGGCAATGATGAGATAAAATGAACTAAAAAATAAAACAACAACAACAAAGCCCTTAGAATGGTGCCAGGCACTGTCAATGTTAGTGACTGTAACTATATTCTTTATAAATACTTGATATGAGAGAGCATTTAATGAATGGGTACTTCAACATAAAACAGTTGGAAAAAAATTGGAATTTAGTTTTGAACTGAAAAAAAACAGTGCTTCCTTAACTACACCCCAGACTCCATGCTGGTTTCCATCGTGGGGATGGCGCTCTACACGGGGTACGTCTTTATGCCCCAGCACATCATGGCGATATTGCACTACTTTGAAATTGTACAGTGACCAAGATGTGACCCAAATCTGGAGATTCTGCAGCAAAGAACCACCCTCTGAAGTTGAAATGAGACTTCATCAGATGTCATAAGAAACTCTACTAGATGTCAACATAACCAACCTTATGAATATAGAGACTAAAATTCATGAGTAGAACAGGAAGATAATCCTGACTCGTGTTGTGTTCTTTATTTTTAATTTTGAAAGAGGCTATTGTATAGTAGTTTTTGTCTATTTTAACATTGTAGTCATTTGTACTTTGATAAGTATTTTCTTAATATTTGTGACTGTTTCAATATTGCCCCTGTGAAAGCTTTTCTTATTGTAACTTTGAGTACATTTTAATTGCCTTCTATTTCTAAAACCTGGAGTCATTAGTTGGGCTTTACTTTTCTTGCTATTGTATGGCATATACATCTGATTGGATATATTTCTACTTGACCAAAGTTTTGTAAGAAACAATACAAGATTTGGGGCAGGGGGTTGGGGAGGGAGGATATTTTATTGAGAATTATTTACAAAAGACTTAGCTGTAAGTTTGAACTCAGGAGTACAGTTTCAGCTATTTAGACTCTAACAACTTTTGCTTTAAAACTATTAAAGTTTCTTACAATGAAAAAGAAAGATCTTGCTAAAGTTAAAATAAGGAACATTTCATCTTTTAAATATTTAATTCTTATATAAATTCATTTCCAGAAAACTTTGGTGATGATTCCTATGACAAAAGGTGGTTAAGTTGTATTGTTATGTGGTGTTTATATTCTCTATAGAGTTTTTAAATAGAAAGTTTCCTGTGAGGACCATTATTAACAATGTACTTCCTTAAATTGAGTTTCACGATTGTACTGGGTGCTGCAAATGCATTTGCACATTGCAATAAGATATGAAGAGATGAATTGTAGTTGAAAGTTATAGCAAAAAGAAATGTAAACTTGGTTAAAATCCTTTCACTCTTTGTATTTTTTTAAAGATTTTTATTCCTTAAGTGTAAAATGACTATCTAGTATTTTGATGTACACTCATTAAATTCCAAATGAAAAAAATCAGCTGGTACGTCACTATTTTTTTTTTTCTCAATGGTTAAATATTAATCTAGTTTTTATATTTCTGAAGTGATTGCTGTGGACAGATGCAGTCAGTATATATACATATATAAATATTTTAAAATTTATTTATGCGTACAAGAACTGGGGTACAGGCCAGAGGTGTGGGGAGTGAGAGGATTGATTCACCAGAGACAGAGTGGGGAACAGAACAGGCAGACTGACTGAAATACACTGCTGAGGGGAGCAGCGGGCGCGGCAGGAGAAGTCTGCGTGCCATGTGGGATCCTCGCCGGGGGCCGGGGATCGAACTGGCGCTGAAGAGGCTGTGGGCAGCTTCACAGCTCAGCGCTCAACCGCTGCACCACCAGGGGAGGCCCCCAACTTTGGTATTTTTAAAGAGTCAATGGATATCATTAGTATTAGGGATGTTGAGCATAATATGTAATTATTTAGTTTTGAAGTAGTTAAAAATGGATGGATATGGTTATGTCTGAACTGTATTCATACTATCTTGAAATAATAATTATGTGAATTTAACTTTGGACTTGTTCAATTAATGTTCAGATTTGATTTCCCCCCTTGAGCCTTCCATAGAGAACCACTCACAAGTGGATGGCTAGTATCTGAATCACCGGTGAGTTGAAGACAGCAAAAAGTTAAGAATCACTAGTTAGCTGACATCCAGGTTACCACTCCTATCCTAGCCCTCTTCTCAGAAAACTTTATTTCATTCTTGCTATTCACTGAAATCTGTTATTTTGCTGATGATTGTTGTGAAACACCAACCTGTGAGATACCGGGAAGATGTTTAACCTGTCAGGGAATCTGGAACAGAGTCAAAAAGAAAAATGGGAACCTCACCTTTGAGTGGTTCAGCAGGGAGGCATATTTTCACCAACTGATGCAATTGTCTGTTTTTTTCAGTAAATAACAAATGAGGAGATCATTCAGCATTATCTGTTCACAGTGAGGTATTTATTAGACAATTCTCCCTAGATCTCTTACCCATCCGTATGTCTTAGAAGCAGAGGTAGTGACAGCCTTTATTCTGCGGTATTTTTCAAGTATGTTTGCTTGGTAGAGAAGAGATAGTGTCTCCCTGCACAATGAAGGGCAGGTTTACTTAGCGCCTTGGAAGATGGTATCTCTTTCTGGAACAAAGGACACTAGAAAATATTTGGGTTCCCTATGCTCCAGATTCCTCTCCTGTAATGCATCCCTCTGCATTTTTTTTTTTTTTAAGATTTATTTATTTATTTATACAAGCACCTGATCCAGTCAGAGGCACAGGAGGGTGAAAGAATTCACCAGAACCTGAGCGGAGAGTAGAATAGGCAGAGTGACGAAGTACACTGCTGAGGGGAGCAGTGGGAGGTAGGAGAGGTCTGAGCGCCATGTGGGACCCTCGCCTGGCGGCCGGGGATTGAACCAGCGCTGCAGAGGCTGTGGGCAGCTTTGCAACCCAGCGCTCAACCTCTGTGCCAACGGGGAAGCCCTGCATCCCTCTGCATTTACAGGTATCAACTGAACTCTGTGTTGTCCTATTGAAACTGGGGTAACTTGGGTTTGGGAACCAGAAAAAGAAAATGATACTTTGTCTATTGCAAAGTTTTATTTGTGTTTGACCCTGGAATCTCCTGTCCAGTGCCAGCACCCGCAAAACTTCTAGACTAGGTAGTAACTTGCAAGTAGGGTAATGCTTCAGACCCTTCACTGTTCATGAAGGTTTTGGTGATGAGGATGGGGTGCTGATGGAGACAGGGTCTTCTGGAAGTGAAAGGGTAATGACCCCAACATGCAAGCAGAGTTGAGACAACTCCCTGCTATCCAGTAGTAAATGCTTTTGCCCAGGAATTGAGTGGATTAGGTGAATAAGGTTTACCCACTATCCTATTTTGTTAAGTAATGCTAGAGATTTAGCAGTGAGAGGTAGGATTGAAAAAAGCTGCCTTAGATGTTGGTCACTTCTCTGAGCAGGTAAAAGAAGGAATCTTGTGATAATGGGTCAACTTTATTTTAAATTTTTTAATATTTATTTTTATTTATTTATGCATACAAGAATGGGGATGTAGTGCAGAGGTGTGTGTGTGTGGAGGGGGTAATGGGGGGTGAGCGGATTTACCAGAGACAGAGTGGGGAGCAGAACTGGTGGATCACTGCTGAGAGAAGCAGCAGGTGAGACAGGAGAGGTCTGCTGTGCCATGTGAATTAGCTCCCTGGCCAGGGATTGAACTCATGCTGCCATGGCTAGTGATAGCTCCATATTGCTGAGACTTTATATCCCTGTGCGACCAGGGAAACCCATAATGGGACAACTTTAAAGATGATGTGGCTGTGACTGCTAAGCCCAAGAATCCCCAAAACTGAAATAAATGGTGTTAGCAGTGAGGGACATGCTTTTCAATACAAAACTTTCCATGGCCTGAAAACATCAGAAGTTAATTTGGCTAAGTCATGATGGGGTGGTCACTGAAATTGAATGCAAACCTTCTTGGTTCAGAGATACTCTCTCCCTTGGTGTCTCCTCTCCTCTTTCTACCTTGACTTCAGTTTCGTTAAAGTGAGAGATGATTAAGGCCAGTACCTGAGTATGCTGGGGAACTCTGTAGAAGGGAGAGATTCAAACTTTATGGCTTCATTGGAGGTGGCCACCCGAGTCATTATCCTACAAAGTCCCTTGGGAGGAGAGGGCACCAGAATTCAACTGATTTGGGGAGTTTTTGTGGTGGATAAGAAATTACAGTGACCCTGTCTGGGTCACTCAGGTAGATACTCATAGAAAGGGCCAGTTCTCTGACATCAAGTTGCTGTTCACATCTCAAGGGTTTCACCAGATTGTTGCCACTACTGCCTGGGGCCATCATTGTACCTATTAAGGCCACACATCTGTGCTCAGCCAGGCACAAAGTCAGGGAACCAGTTTTTGATGCAGAGGCTGCCTCTGCAAGCCACAGGTGAGATGCCTGCCAATGTATTTCAGGAAGGGGGTCACTCCACCTCCTTGCTCTTAGCAGATGGAATACATCAAACTTTTGTCCTTTCAGGGCCCTCTGTGTTGCCTCACTGCTTTCTGCACTCTCTTAATTTACCATGTTCTAGTCAAATCAGCTAATTCCAGCCACACTATTGGGGCCCTCGAAACTAATCCTTGTCACTTTTTCAGCTTTCTGGACCATTTGCAGCTTGACAGTAATGAGCTTTTTTCTTTCTTTCCTTTTTTTAATCATAAAAGCTACTCAACAATGTGCTGATAGTTGAGATTTCTGATAAGCATTTTATGCTCTCTACCATTCACAGGCCTCTGATATTATGGAGTATTGGAACGGCCACTTCCAAAAATCAGTTCATATATAGATTTTTAACTCTAGTTCCTCTGGTGCTTGTAACAGTTCTGGTCTACACACCTCAATGAAGCAGTCTGGTCATTGCATTCAGGAAGGGATGAGCTCTTAGCTACTTCTTGCATAACAGTGAGGATGAGCTTGTATTATTTTAGAAATTGGAATTCCTCCTTGGCTGATTCTAGGCATGATGCTTTTCTGTTCACTAATGGCAATTGTAGGCTGATAAGTTGGTGGCCTGGCCCAAAGGGAGCCTTGGGCTTTCAAACTGGCTCAGCCACCTGGATTCCGTTGTTGGATTGTTAGAGCCCCTTATCATAAGGCTAATCACCACTTGGTTGAGCACACCACCTTGTGAGTCACCTAAGTGTTTCCTGTAGGCCAAACTGGGTGGTGAGGGGGAACAACATGACACCCCATATTATTCTCAATATACCATTTTGGTATGTGGAATATTTTGAGCTGAAGGCATGTGGGTTATTTTGAGCCGAAGGTAATTAAGACCCAGCAGACTCAGAGAAAACTGCTTATCTCTCCCAACTCCTAAAATAATTTATTATTTAAAAAAATATTTATGCATACAAGAACTGGGGGGCAGGCCAGAAGTATGGTGGGTGAGAGGATTCACCAGAGACAGAGTGGGGAACAGAATAGGCAGATTGACTGAAATACACTGCTGAGGAAAGCAGTGGGTGAGACAGGAGAGGTCTGCTGCGCCATGAGGAGTAGCTCCCTGGATGGGGATCAAACTTATGCTACAGTGGCTGGCGATAGCTTGATAGCACTGAGCTACCAGGGAGGACCCCAGAGAAAACTTTTATGTCTGAAAGACTTATGCATGACATGGCATGGCAAACATTTGTTTACCACACATTTGCTCATCTCATCTTCCTGTGAATTGTCTTACTCCTCTTTGAAGCCCCAGACCCCTATTTCTTTCTCTTTTAGCTCAGGATGATATATACAAGCCTCCAATTGCCTGACAGTCTTTGGGTCTCATATATTTGGGGTTCTCAAATGTTTGAAACTTGTTTTTCTCCTGTTAGTTTGTCTTAGACCAAAGTACCTAGAGGGAAAGCATCTGTCCCCATACAGTGGCATAATGTGGTTTAGAAAATGTCTCCTCTTCTTTACACCTGGTTCTTCTCAATAAAATGTTTGAATTTGAGTAGAGATGTTGGAAAAAAGGTGAAGTTATCACAACTATAATGTGACAAGCTGATTTTGTGGTGATGGAGAGAGTAATAATTCCAACACTTGAGGCAAAAATACCGTAGACTCTTGGGACAGGGTGGAAGGAACTCTAAAGATAGTTTGTCTTTCAGAGCTACCTTGGATCCTTCCTCAGGAGAGCAAATACCCTGGTGTGGCTTCACAAACTGTTACGAGCACCTTAAAGGCAGCTGGCTGCTGAATCTGCCGTTCTCTGCCCTGAGACAGCTCTGACCATGATTTTGATTGCCATTGCCCTTGACCTTACCAAGAAATCTATCAGATAGAGAATAGCCTCAGTTTCTGCATCTCCCATGCAAAACACCGGTTAAGAGTATATTCTATTTCTGCAGTTATCTATTGCTCAGTTATCCATGGGGGAGGGGAATGGATGCCACATTTCTCCTGGCATGGACAAATAAGACAGTTTGGATCTCAGCTCTTGAGCAATCCCTCTAAAATCAGGCACTAGATTCAATTATTCAAACTGAACTGGAAGCCTATCCAAAGTTTACCAGTTTGTCAGGAGGCTCCACTGAGGAACTGTTAACCTATGCCTGTGGGTCCCACTTGAAGAGGCCAACAATTACAATATAAACAACATTTTCATTCCAGGGACATCTATGTGCCTTCAGGATTTTACTTCTTGGTGGAAGCCGAGAGTTAACTTGCCTTTCCGAAGAATTCTCTTAGAGGCAATCATAAGGGATCTTTGAGTGTTTGAGGAATCGCCACTGATAGATCATGTGGCCCTCAGATGACCACAGAGATCGCTCCAAAATGAAGTTCTCCAGAAGGGTAAGTAATTAATTATTTATGCCCCATTGCTGGCTGAACACTGGAATTATCCAATAGAAAAGTGCTAGGAGGAAAATAAGCAGGGGAAAAAAAAAAAAAAAAAAGAAAAAAGAAAAGGTGGTAAAAAATTTGCCCCTGATTTTAGCTGAAGTTATCAATAACCACGTGGTCCTTGAAGGATTCCAGGCCAGCCTCAGCTTATTGGCCAGTGTTGTTATGGATGAGAAGATTGCCCTAGACTTCTTCCAGATGGGCCAAGTGGAGTCTGTGCAATTCCTACCACAGAGCCTGAATTAGCACATCAGGCCAAGTAGAAAGGTCAATACAGAAACTTAAAAGAAAGCTGCTAGGTTTTCTAAAGTAGACCCGGATGGTTTATGGAGTTTGTTAAGCTATTTGTGTCTAGGATGCTTGGGGCCATGGTTGAGATCAATACAGGATCTTCCCACCCTGCTATTTGGAGCCCTGTTGCCAGGGACCTTATTTAAATACCATGTGAAGCAAGTTGATTTGGTCCTAGCCTCTGTGGGTCAGATTAGAGTGGCTGCCGAAGTGGCATACTCAGCTGTGGAAACTAGTGTGGGCAGGGAAATAGTGCTGGGAGATAGTTCTCTGTGGGTCTCCCATAGTCCTGCCTGTTTTGTTAGCAGTGGCACTGGTTGTCTTTGTTTCAAGGGTGTCTATAGAGGGGCCAACTTCAGTAGGTGCTGTGCCTCCTTTCAGAGTAAAGGATAAGTTTGTTGGAAACCTTGGAAGATAAAGTGTTTACTTCTCGAGCAAAGGGTAGATGTGCTAACTCTCCAGTATAAAAAGATTTGGGTTCTCAAAGGACACAGAAACATTAATTCCAAAGAGCACCTGCACCCCTGTGTTTATAGCAGCTCTATTTACAATAGCTAAGCTTTGGAAACAACCCAAATGCCCAAAAATAGATGACTGGTCAAGAAGATGTGGTTCATATACACAATGGAATATTACTCAGCATTCAAAAAAGATAAACACATGCAATTTGCAAAAACATGGATGGAGCTGGAAGGGATCATGCTCAGCAAAATAAGCCAGAAAGAAAAAGGAAAATACCGGATGGTCTCACTCATAGCAGGAATCTAGAAAACCTAAATAAGGGACCAGGAAAAAGAATAACTATAAGAAAGAAAAAGTCAAAATCAACAAACAGCTATGAACCAGAGACACACTATAGGGGGTGGTGGGGAAAGACACACTATGGGGTCAAAATAAGGGGGTTGCAATTGTATGGGGAATATAAAAATAAAATTAAAAAAAAAGATTTGGGTTCTCTGGGTTCAGGGGTTTTCACTTATACTAAAAGATATTGTAAATATAGACTTCACTTATGTCTTCCTTTTGTCCTTGTGGGAGTTAGAACTTGAGAAACCAGAACAAGGAAATGAAAATCCTCCAGCTACTGCTGTTGCTGTGGGCAATAAAGACCTTTGACCCTGACCCTGGAATCTCTCATCCTGGTGTCTTCAGCACCATGAAGCAGCTAATAGGCCAACTGGTTAGCTGTCACATGGGATAAAATCTCAGCCCCTTCACACCTCTTTACTGTATTTACCTTGAGTAATAAAACAGTACCATGGTTTTGTTAAAGCATACCTTTTTTTTTTTTTAAGATTTATTTATTTATTTATTTATTTTTAGAGATTTATTTATTCATGCATACAAGAACTGGGGTACAGGCCAGATGCTCAGGAGAGTGAGAGGATTCACCAGAGACAAAGCGGGGAGCAGAACAGGCAGACTGACTGAAATATACTGCTGAGGGGAGCAGCGGGCAAGGCAGGAGAGGTCTGCCATGCCATGTGGGTATCTCCATGGCCGGCCAGGAATCAAACCCATGTTGCAGAGGTTGCGGGCAGCTTCGCAGTGCTGTGCTCATCCCACTGCGCCACTGGGGAGACCCTTAAAGCATGCCTTTTTAGTAATTTTTTGTTTGGTCAATTTTTAGTGTTTTGAATATATAATACACAAAGACTTGATGTTATGTTTTGTTTTTTTATTTTTATTTATTTAGTTATTTGTTTATTAGTTTATTCATTCATTCATTCATTCATTCATTCATTCATTCATTCATTTATTTATTTTTGTGGGACCCTCACCGGGAATGAACCGGTGTTGCAGAGGCTGCGGGCAGCCTTGCAGCCCAGTGCTCAACCGCTGCGCCACCAGGGGAGTCCTATGTTTTGTTTTTTAAAGAATAAAAAGATAAAGGGCCTTCCTGGTGGTGCAGGAGTTAAAGTCTCAGCGCTGTCAAGCTATTGCCAGCCACTATGGCATGAGTTCAATCCCCGGCCAGGGAGCTAACCCACATGGCGCAGCAGACCTCTCCTGTCTCGCCTGCTGCTCCCCTCAGCAGTGTATTTAAGTAGATCTGTCTGTTCTGCTCCCCACTCTGTCTCTGGTGAATCCTGTCCCCTGCCCCCACACCTCTGGCATGCCCCCCAGTTCTTGTATGCATAAATAAATAAGTCTTTTTCATGTTTTATTTATTTATTTTATTTATTTGTTTGTTTTGTTTATACATGCACTGGGTACAGTCAGAAGCGCGGGAGGGTGAGAGAATTCACCAGAGCCAGAGCAGGGAGCAGAGCAGGCAGAAGGACCGAAGTACACTGCTGAGGGGAGCAGCGGGCGGCAGGAGAGGTCTGCGCGCCATGTGGGACCCTCCTCCGGTGGCCGGGGAGCAGCCGGGGATCGAACGGGTGCCACAGAGGCCGCGGGCAGCTTCGCAACCCAGCGCTCAACCGCTGCGCCACTGGGGAGGCCCTTAAAAAAAAACTAAAATGTTCACTCAGAAAGAGGGTTGGTGTATATATTTTTAAAAGACTAGGGGAAGTTGCTGGTGCAGGGCAATGGCAGTTCAAGAATATGGGTGCCTCCTTTGTTTCAGGGATGTTAGAAAGACTAACAACCTGACTGATAGCACTAAGTATGCTAAAGGAGAAATTGTACTCAGCAGAACATTTGTAATTTCTTGAAACAGATGTTGAGTGATCCTAACACTTCCATTATCTTCTTACTCATAATTACCAAAAAATGTCATAAAATTGATAAAACCCAGTGTAGGTTGTTAGAGAAGAGAGAGTTCTCTTGTTTTTGGTAGTAGTGAGAATTGGTACAAGCTTTTGGGAAGTAAGTTCGTGCTACTAAATTTTTTTTTTAAAGATTTATCTATTTATTTATCTATTTATCTATTTACTTATTTATTTATTTGTTTATTTATACAAGCACTGGGTACAGTCAGAAGCATGGGAGGGCAAGAGAATTCACTAGAGCCAGAGTGGGGAACAGAAGAGGCAGACTGACGAAATACACTGCTGAGGGGAGCAGTGGGCATGGCAGGAGAGGTCTGTCGCACCATGTGGGACCCTTTCTGGTGGCTGGGGATTGAACCGGCGCTGCAGAGGCTGCGGGCAGCTTTGCAGCCCAGGGCTCAACCGCTGCGCCACCAGGGGAGGCCCCGTGCTACTAAATGTTTTAATCTTTGTATTATTTGACACAGTAGCTGTGCTTCTATAAATTTATCATTCAGAAATACTTATTGAAGTTTATAATGATAAATGTGCAAGCATATATATCAGTATTTAAAAACTTTTTGGTGAAACAAAACATTTTAAAATGCTCATGAAATGCACAATTATTAATGAATAATTATGAAGCAAACATTCATACATTTCCATGAATAACATGTAAATATAAAAACAAAGAAAAATAACAATACTAGTAGCCCAGAAGTTCCTATGTGTCCTTCCAATTAAAGTCCTACTACTTTCCTATTGAGATAACTTTTTCCTTACTGTCACATATGCTTCAAAACAGTAGCTACTAGCCACACATGGCCAATAAGCATTGAAATGTGGCTAGTTGGAACCCAGATGTGCTATCTGTGTTAAATTCACATTGGATTATGAAGAATTTGTGTAAAAAATATAAAGTAATTCATTAATATTTTATTTTTTAAAGATTTGTTTTTATTTATACATGCACTGGGTATAGTCAGAAGTGCGGGAGGGTGAGAGAATTCACCAGAGCCAGAGCAGGCAGAAGGAGCGAAGTACACTGCTGAGGGGAGCAGTGGGTGGCAGGAGAGGTCTGTACGCCATGTGGGAGCCTCCTCCGGTGGCCGGGGAGCAGCTGGGGATCAAACTGGCGCTGCAGAGGCTGCGGGCAGCTTCGCAACCCAGCACTCAACCGCTGCGCCACCGGGGAGGCCCCATTAAAATATTATTTACATATTGAAATTATACTATTTAAAATATATTGGGTTAAATAAAATATATTGTCACATATTTTATTTTTTAAAAAGATTTATTTTATTTACTTATCATACAGAAACTTGCGTATAGGCCAGAGGTTGTGTGTGTGTGTGCGTGTGTGTGTGTGTGTGTGTATGTATGTGTGAGAGAGAGAGAGCGGATTCACCAGAGACAGAGTGGGGAGCAGAACAGGCAGACTGACTGAAATACACTGCTGAGGGGAGCAGTGGGTGAGACAGGAGAGGTCTGCTGTGCCATGTGGGTTGCTCCCTGGTAGGGGATCAAACTTGCTGCAGTGGCTGGTGATAGCTTCATAGTGCTGAGACCTAACCCCTTGTGCCACCAGGGAGGCCCTCTTTGAATGCTTTTAGTATCCTCTCCTTATCACCAGTTTTTTTTTTTTTTTTAAGTGGTTTGAATAGTATAAAATATGTCTAGGGATGTGTTTGGATTTATTTTGTTTGGAACTCTTTGTGCCTCTTGTATCAGGATATCTGATTCCTTTTCAGTTTAGGGGCATTATTAGCTATTAATTCTTAAAATGCATTTTCTGTGCTTTTCTCTCTTTTGTCTTCTTTGGGGACCCCCGTGATGTGGATATTATTTCTCTTTAAATTGTCCTAAAGATGTTAGTCAATCAATCTCTAAGATGATTCCAGACACTATGAGGAATTGACCTTGTGGGGGAATCATTGTCTGCCCCCATCCAACTCAGACATC